GATGAAGGTGATGGAGGATGGAGAATGGAGGACTGAGGAGATGGAGGACGGAGGACGGAGGAGATGGAGGTCGGAGGACGGAGGAGATGGAGGACGGAGGAGATGGAGGACGGAGGAGATGGAGGACGGAGGAGATGGAAGACGGAGGAGATGGAGGACGGAGGAGATGGAGGACGGAGGAGGTGGAGGATGGAGGACGGAGGACATGGAGGATGGAGGAGATGGAGGATGGAGGACGGAGGACATGGAGGATGGAGGAGATGGAGGATGGAGGACGGAGGAGATGGCGGACGGAGGAGACGGAGGATGGAGGACGGAGGAGATGGAGTATGGTGGACGAAGGAGACGAAGGAGATGGAGGACGGAGGAGATGGAGGATGGAGAATGGAGGACTGAGGAGATGGAGGACGGAGGAGATGGAGGACGGAGGACGGAGGAGGTGGAGGACGGAGGACGGAGGAGGTGGAGGACGGAGGACGGAGGAGGTGGAGGACGGAGGACGGAGGAGGTGGAGGACGGAGGACGGAGGAGGTGGAGGACGGAGGAGGTGGAGGACGGAGAACGGAGGAGATGGAGGACGGAGGACGGAGGAGGTGGAGGACGGAGGAGACGGAGGACGGAGGAGGTGGCGGACGGAGGACGTGGAGGACGGAGGAGGTGGAGGACGGAGGACGGAGGACATAGGACATGGAGGAGATGGCGGACGGAGGAGACGGAGGATGGAGGACGGAGGAGATGGAGAATGGTGGACGAAGGAGATGGAGGAGATGGAGGATGGAGGTGATGGAGGATGGAGAATGGAGGACTGAGGAGATGGAGGACGGAGGACGGAGGAGATGGAGGACGGAGGAGATGGAGGACGGAGGAGATGGAGGACGGAGGAGATGGAGGACGGAGGAGATGGAGGACGGAGGAGATGGAGGACGGAGGAGATGGAGGACGGAGGAGATGGAGGACGGAGGAGGACGGAGGACGTGGAGGACGGAGGACGGAGGAGATGGAGGACGGAGGAGATGGAGGACGGAGGAGATGGAGGATGGAGGATGGAGGAGATGGAGGATGGAGGACGGAGGACATGGAGGAGATGGCGGACGGAGGAGACGGAGGATGGAGGACGGAGGAGATGGAGGAAGGAGGAGACGGAGGATGGAGAATGGAGGACTGAGGAGATGGAGGACGGAGGAGGTGGAGGACGGAGGACGGAGGAGGTGGAGGACGGAGGACGGAGGAGGTGGAGGACGGAGGACGGAGGAGGTGGAGGACGGAGGACGGAGGAGGTGGAGGACGGAGGACGGAGGAGGTGGAGGACGGAGGACGGAGGAGGTGAGGACGGAGGACGGAGGAGGTGGAGGACGGAGGACGGAGGAGGTGGAGGACGGAGGACGGGAGGAGGTGGAGGACGGAGGACGGAGGAGGTGGAGGACGGAGGACGGAGGAGGTGGAGGACGGAGGAGATGGAGGACGGAGGACGGAGGAGATGGAGGACGGAGGACGGAGGAGATGGAGGACGGAGGACGGAGGAGATGGAGGACGGAGGACGGAGGAGATGGAGGACGGAGGACGGAGGAGATGGAGGACGGAGGAGATGGAGGACGGAGGAGATGGAGGACGGAGGAGATGGAGGACGGAGGAGATGGAGGACGGAGGAGATGGAGGACGGAGGAGATGGAGGACGGAGGAGATGGAGGACGGAGGAGATGGAGGACGGAGGAGATGGAGGACGGAGGAGATGGAGGACGGAGGAGATGGAGGACGGAGGAGATGGAGGACGGAGAACGGAGGAGATGGAGGAGGTGGAGGATGGAGGACGGAGGAGATGGAGGATGGAGGACGGAGGAGGTGGAGGATGGACGAGATGGAGGGTGGAGGACGGAGGAGATGGAAGATGGAGGACGGGGGAGATGGAAGATGGAGGACGGAGGACTGAGGAGATGGAGAATGGAGGACGGAGGATACGGAAGATGCAGGACAGAGGAGATGGAGGACGGAGAACGGAGGAGATGGAGGATGGAAGTGATGGAGGATGGAGGACTGAGGATACGGATGATGGAGGACATGGCGGATGGAGGAGATGGAGGACGGAGGACAAAGGAAATGGAGGAGGTGGAGGATAATTATGCCGTATTCTGAATTATATTAGAACAGATAAGTAACTTGGATTAGATAGGACTGTGGACATATAATAACATCTCTGATGTTTGTGCGAGATTTAGAAAGACAATTTTACTGTTCTTTACTAGATCAGTATTACAGAAGTTATTAGATGATCCCACAAGCACTGTTCTGCCTTACATTTTAATAAGAATCAAATAATAATTAGCATGAATATTGACCTTTTGCTGCAGAGACTACATACAAAAGTGGCATGAAGAAGCATAGAAACGTCATATTCTGTTAATTACATGAGCACTTGTATGCTCAGTTTCCTTGTTACCTTTGTGTAAGGTACAGAATCCCAGAATAAAACTGGGAAAGAAATAAACTGTATCAAAACAGTTTAGAAATATATTCTAGTTTAGTTTTAATTTTAGCATATTCAATATTTTATAAGCCAAAGTAATGTGACTCTTCATATTTTAATAGCTTTATGCAATTCTTCACTATGTTCAAGTATCTAAACCAACATGTACGTTTGGTATATTTTAATGCAGTTTGTCAGAATGACACTGACTCTGAAAAATTAGCAATTACTGATTTTAATCAAAAGTTCTGCATAACTCTCAGAGAAATAACTCACTTCATGTAAGTAATTTGTCTCCAGTATTTATATGGGGTTTTCTCTTTGTTCATTCTTTCTGCACCATTTCAGAGGAGCAGCAGTGCCACTAGGTCCTACTGCTCACAGCAGCCTTCTGACCTAAGGCGTTTTCCTTCATTCCACTGTGAGAAATGGAGGACCCTGTTTGCCTCTCATCCTGTCATCTCCTGCTGTGTGTCACCAACATCTTACAGTCTCTTTCTTAAATGGATCATGCTTCTCCGAATCATGGATTCTCAGCTGTACAACTTCCCCAGTAGTTTGTTCAAAAACTGACTTGGTTTAGTGCACATGAATCTTTATGCCATTTACAGCTCAGGCTAATTCATCAACAGTTTACACGTATTTTCTCCCCAAGTTAAAAGTACACGTGCGCTTCTCTTAACTATTTACCCAGCTCATCTCACATTTTTCACTCTAGGCCCTTCTGCCTATTAAATTCCCAGGAAGCCTTATTCTGTATATTTTCCTCAAGCTACAAACCACATTTCTCCCATTTACTGACTCCAGCTACTTCTTCAACAACTGAATTGTACCTATTTGGGAAAATCCCTAATAACTGAATCCCAAGTACTGACTCAAACGTAAACCTGCATTCTGGTAAGCACAGCCAATTCTTAAAAACACAGCAAAGGTCCCAAGATACCTGAAAACCTCTTTGTTTTGCAAAACTCACGTTAATTTTCCATATGACCAACCAAAATAGATATGTTGTAATAGTTACGTCTGAAATCAACTTGGATTTTGTGCTTGTTTATTTGTGACTGGTTTTACTGGAATAACTAAAGCTTTTAAGAATTCATCGAATAAATGGAATTACATCTTGTATGCTTTCCAAATGCCTGTTCAATTCGGTGGAGCTCATCACAAAGCTAGAGCAAAAAACTCCTCACATATACCATTTCTCATCATGGTATATGACAGCATTCGCTTTATCTAGAATTTTGGAAGGGAATAAGACTTCAGAATTATAACTCAGACTGCATGAGCCTGCATACCAAATGTAAAACATGGAATGATCTGTGACACACTGAGATTTCATCTAGGACTATAAAGAACTGGAAAACTCTGAAAAAGAGTAATCCATAAAGTTGAAAACAGGCTGAGATTAAGAAATGCCACATTGCTTGAAATCCCTGAGGGCAAAACCACAGACGACATTTTATGGAAATGGATTATTAAGGTTCTGAGGATAGACAGCTCCTACTTCCTTCTGGAACAGATCACAAGAAATAAAATAACTAAAAATACACAGATTTTTTTCACTCAGAAAAGCAGTATTTTCTGAGCTCATTTCAGAGAAGCAAGTAATTGTATGCCTCATACACAAGAATGTAGAGACAATGCCAGCTAATATAAAAAGAAGTGATAATCACAGTGACATCAGAACTTGAAGCCGATACAATAGGTGTTAAATGCTCCAGCATATTGTATCTCACTTATAAAGTGAAACTACAGTTACCTCTGAAATCCTGCTAGATGCATTACCTGGGGGGAAAGAGAAGACGGGTTTTGTCAGTGTAGCCACTGGCAAAGCACTGATGGCTGAAATTCAGAGTGAAAATGCTCCTTCACCTGTGCCTCACCTGCCAAGCCATCTCCAAGTATACCAGACACCACTAACACTCTGGGGCCCTGTACACAATGTCAAGTGCGTGCCTCCTGGCAACCTTTAGTTACAGTATAGTGAACCCATGTAAGACACTAAACTAGAAGAGCGAACTTCAAACTAGAATGGTCAGTGCAGGAAGAAAAAGGCCCACAAAACTATTCTATAAATATTTAAACTGATTTAATGATATTAACAAATTCATAATGTTCTTCTGATTTAGCCAACCTGACACCATTTTATCAGATGCTAAAGTCTATCCTAATCCTCATGTAAATTATTAGTTCTGTTTCAAGTTAGAATATCAAAAATTATTTCTCCTTTTATTGCATGAAAAATGTAGTCCTAGCATTCCTTTAGCATAGACATTTTTAATATGGAACTTTATGATGTGTAACAGTTAGATTTAAAGTAAGACATATTCTTAACACGCAGAAAAGCAAGAAACGGGCATAACAATGTGTACTCACATTATTTTCACAACTGTTGTTCCTACTTACAGTACAGGCTGCTCCAGTCATGAGAACTAAAATCATTCTGATAGCAAGAACACCCACCCAGGTATAACAGGCATTCACTTCCCGAGTGTCAGAATGCCAAAATCCAGACAATAAAACCAAAATGGTGACTTACCCCATTTAAAGGAAATGTTTTCCATCCTAGTTCTCCAAGGACAGCTGTAGTGTCAAGTAACACAACTGAAAATGGAAAAAGAAATGGTATGTTTGCAGTATTGCTTAGTTAGACACATGCAACATCAAGTATTAAACAGGTTATGAATTGAATTAGCCATATTAGCCAAGTATGCCTGCTTAAAGCTATTAAAACAAATAAAATGTCAGAGTATGAATAAAACCAGAATCTAAACATTGTGGTTTTCATGGCTTACATTTCATTATCAAATGTCTCAGAAGATATAACTCATAAAAAAACCTAAATCCTTTGCAAGAAATCACTGCAAAATCACAGTACATTAATGATGCTTAATCATTAAAAGGTGCCTGAACAGGTATGCCCTTTTCTGCAATTGCTTGCCCAGAAATCTAGGTTTACACATGGACTTAAACATTAAAGCATATAAAGCAAAGAAAAACAGAGTTTCAAAAAGTGTTTTAAAAGAAACCAGAAATAAAGTTATACAATATACAAATTGTATAATTCAGAAAAAAAACAGAGACTAAGAACTTTAGAGTTGATATTGCAGCTGGAATATCCCAACGCTGAAAGCAGCTATGCATATTTTGAATCACTTCTGCCACATTAATTTTGGTTTTTCAATATATATTAGAAAGGATGTGCATTATTGTGTTTGTATATTAAAAATATTTCTGCACTATCTTAGTATGTTAAATTACATTAGCTTCATTTTTCCTTTAATATTGCAAAAATTACAGCTCACAGTGCTAAGGAAGCTAACTGCAAACTAAGTATTTAATACACAAGACATTGTACCTACATGTACTACTGCCCTCTAATGGAATTGTTTCATCTGACCCTCTAAGAACTGTAAATTTAGGTTTTAAACATAAAATTAAGTATTGTATAGAGCAATTTATTTTAACTATCAAGTGGGTATGTTTTGAACACTGAGTTCCTCCTTACAGCCCACAAATTCTAGTTCTTCCTTGGATGGTTAAATGATGGAGAAAAATGAACCTATTAGTTTGGAATATGACACTACTACCCATATGTTTGAGAGGGGGGTTATGCTGTTGTGCACTATCTTCCACCTCTTATCTGTCCAAACTATCAGTGTTCAGTCATCTGTCATGTGTTTCTGTAAAGCGGTACAGCAGCAATAGCAGAAGCCAGGTCATGGTTTTTTGCCTTGTGGAAAAGGCACCTTGGCAGGGGAACCATATGAGCTTGCCAGCTTATTAGAGGAAAGTATACCTAGCATCTTCCTTTGTCTTTTGTATTAGTGACAACTGGAGTTCCTCTATATTTAACTGTATGTTGACTTTTAACCTGAAACTGAAATAGTCTTATCAGCAAATTCACAGTCAGGTAACAAGCTCAACATTCACCAAATAAAAGTTTAATGATTTATTTGAAGAAAGTAATGACATTTTAAAAAGGATATTGAAAAGGGCAGCATTCTGCTCTCCACTTTGTCACCACTGCACCAGCTTATGAAGCTTCGTGATTAACTTGAAGATAAACTTTTTTTTTACAAGCTCTATTTTACTTTAAGAAATAAAAAAGAAGAAATCACTATTTCCACTGAGCCCATTGCTGCCTTCTGCTTACTTAAAAAGCTGAGTTTACAGCTGCTACAGTATTTTCTACTTGCACCAGGCTACCATACACTTGTTGAAGAGTCAAAAAAGCATCTTCCTATTTGGCCTGTGATGCAGAAGTTTCCTGTGCAAACTTTCAATTTCAAATGTACTGGGGACCTGTCACCTCCAAAAGAATGAAGCTGCTGGGTTCAGCTATCCCCTTCTCATAGAGAAGGCCAAATGCCTTCAGAGTATTTCAGTTCCCCTTAGGAGTTTGATTTATTCTCTCCATCTCTCCTCCCCACCTCTCTCTAGCCAGCAGACTCCTTGTAAATATACTGTTTTCAGCTAAAGTTATACCTTGCTACTTAAGCACTGCTAGTCTGATACGTTAATTCCTTAAAGCTTCTGTGGCAGCAGGACCATGATTTAGTATATGTTGTCCACGTAATCAAAAACAATACTTCCACAGAACAGGCCCCAGAATACAGCAAGGAAAAATAACTCTTTTCTTCAGTGGAGCTTGAATTAATTAATTCCTTGCCCAAATTAATCAAGCACTACTTCAAAGCTCAAAGCTATACATTAAAAATTAAGAGCTAGAGTAAATCCATCACTGAAAGCATGCTAGGTTTAAATTTAGTTGAACCATAACCATAGAATCATAGAACGGAATGGGCTGGAAGGGACTGTAAAAATCATCCAGTTCCAGCTCCCCTGCCATGCGAGGATATACATTTACCAAATCACTAGGTTTTGTTAAAATACGATTTTTGATACATTTTACATACCAAGCTTCTTGTATGCTTACATATGCTTGCTTATAGCCATGAAATCTGTTAGAACTTCAAACCTGAGGATTCAACCCACCACACTCTTAATCAGAATTAGGATGCTATCACCTGCATAGAATGCTATCACCTTCAGACTCAGAAATGAAAATCATAAAAGTTCTCACTGTTTTTTCCAACAGTACTTGCATTAAAAGACATGAAATTATTATCAGTCAAAAATAAGCAAATACTGGCAGATCAAGTAAACATTATAGCAAAGAAATACAAACCCCAGTAAAATGGTAAAATCATCAGGGCTGGCTATACAAATGAGGACATGAATAAAGTAATAAAATCTGCATACACTTCAGTGATTCAGAAATATCTACATGATAGACTTCAGCGTGGGACAGAGATACCCAAGCTATCTTTAAATGAGGTAATTAAGAAGCAGTCAATCCCCAGCAGCACAGACCTGATGGCAGACAAATTTACACTGCCAAGAAGCTTCCAACTCACAGCTCCTTGGCAAAAACATTTTTCTGCCAAAGAAACCCAGACTAAGAAGAATGCCCACATGGACACATCTGAAATTACAAACAGGAGTGAATGCCTCTCTTCTGAGTGCAAACCAGTAAAAGTTTCAAGAGAATTGGCAATTCATAGAATCATAGAATAGATAGGAAAGGACCTTAAAAGATCATCTGGTTCCAACACCCCTGCTATGAGCAGGGGATACCTCACCCTAGACTATGTCACCCAAGGCGCTGCCCAGCCTGGCCTTGAACACTGTCAGGGATGGAGTGTTTTGCCATTGCAAAGAGGCTAAAAACAGGTAACGGATGTTACATGTATGATGCTTAAGATGAGAAACTTCCCTAAAATGTTAATGGAAGCGGGAACGACCCTTGTCCCTCCATTTATTTATTTAGTCCTCTATGTGCCATAAAAAGTCTCATTCCTCCTATGTTAGACTTCATACACTACAACCATCACAGACATTAGCTGCCAGCATAAGCAAAAGTATGTTTCTTGAACTGACATGGGGGGGGAGAGGGGGAAGCTGTAAATAAATTGGTTGAAACTAAGCAATGTTACTGACATTTTTGATACCCCATCTCCACTTGTAACAGCCATTCTGAGACAACATAGAGTATAAAACTTGCAGAGTGAACAAGAGTGAAATAGTATAGGTCTGCCACTACGAAGTCACGCCACGATTCAATATCAACTCAAAGGTCCTTTAAAGTAATATTTTCCGATAGAAGGAACTTAGATTGAGCACTTTCATGTCCTTCCTTAAATAACTGAGTTAAGAATACTGTAACTTGCCTAATAATAATACATGAAATTAAGCATACATCTGCAGACATATTAAGTGCCCTGTTCATACTTAGAATTTAAGTATTTATCTTTGTTTTTCAGTACATACTTTAATATAGATTACATTATTATAACTCATTATGACATACTGAGCTCCAGTTTCCTTTTTTTTTCCTGGACATATCTTACACTGCTATTATTAGACTTTACAACTGAAATTAATCTTTTCAGAGGTTTTGCCTGGTCCTGAGAGAACTGTTTTATTTAAAATTACGATGAGCAGAACTCCAAGGACAGTGTGGAATTTTAAATCTAATTCCAAAATGCTGTTCTGAAGATGATCTCTACAATCTTGTCGGCACAACCAAGGACAAAGCTTCCCAAGCATTCATTTCCCCACTTTCTTTTCTTTCTTCCCACATCTTCAGGCAGACTGACCTAACACTTTTAAATGAACAAAGGATTGTGGCCAATCATACGGAATCATAGTCCAGCCTCAGAATAGGCCACGAGATCACCCAGCTTGATCTCCCGCTCGTTACAGCTATGGTGGGTAAACCAAAGATTCGCCAAGAAAACAGAATAGAAAAATAGGATCACCTGCAGTATTCTGAAATAATTCCCTCCAAACATATATATTATAATAAAGAACCCTGCCTATTTTTATATCCCGTTTATATATCTGAGATCACATTAGCCTATTTTTGACTGCAGCACTGCACTCACAGGCACTAAAGTCTATCAAGTTCACTGTCCTTTACAGAATCACTCCTCTCCATCGTTATTTTTCAGTTTGGGTTGCATTTTTGTTCTTGAATGTACAAAGACCCATTTGTTTATATTAAAACCAGTCGTACTTCTTAGAGCTGACCTTTACAAAGTGATAAAGGCTGTTTCCTGTCCACACACCATCTTTCTTTCTTTACTTGTCTTTTGTCAGCTATTGATTTGATATTTATTTCCATGTTACTAATGAAAAATGCTGACCGGTTAGAAATTAGGATTTTGAACCTCAAATTCTGTGATTTCACAGTCACTGAAAACTACTCTGAGGTTTCTCTGACCTCGGGCTTTTTTAAAGCCATTTACTAAGAAATTTGGTAAGCTTTTAGCTGTCAGAAGGTAAATATCACTTTGTGATATTTTATCATACTATACAAAATCTAAACATATTACCTCTGTGCCTTGTCTGCCTGAGGAGGACAGAAAGAAGAGAGAAATAGGCAAGTGCCCTCTGGCAATTAACATGTAATCAACTGGGAAACACTATTTAAATGCCTGGGATTTTATACTAGGTTTGTTTCCCATAAAACAAAGGAACTGGCATTCATTAAATAAGTGCCAGTTGAATCCTTTCCCATCATTTCCATTATTTTGCAT